GAGATTGATTTAACATATTAACTGGTGTGCAAGATTGGCAATATATGCAACAGGCAAGATCTAGTAAACATTGTAGGCCTAATGTAGTGGTTTGTAATTGTATTGGCTAATTGTAAATCATGTCTTACACCAACTAATGTACTAGACTTTAGGTCTAATTGCAGTTATAACTTTATTTCTAGACCTTAGGTCCATCATCATACAAATTGTGACCTATATTATAGGCATACTTAGACCTATACTAACTATTAAACTAGGCATTGCACTGGGAAAGATCTAATGACTAAGTTAATAGATCTAGATGTAACATTTGTTCTAAAAGTTAGGCCTAGTAAATCTAACTCCAGAATTGATGAGGCAGGGTTATATCTAGATCTGGGTAGATCCAATACAAGGTGCTTTCAATCTATGCACCCAAATCTAAGGTATTGTTTAGATGTATAAAACTAAATTTCTGTCATTATTATTACATCTAGATTCAAACCTAAGACTAAAAAGATGGAAATAACAGGTCTAACATTAATGTTAGATCTAGATATACTAGCGACTTAATCTAGCATCACTAAGTAGTTAGCCTATATTTAAGTTTTCTCATTCTATCAAAATCTTTAATATTAAATATAGCCTTTGAGCCTCTAGGCTTATATTATGTTATGATTACACCCTTCTCCACAGTGTGTGTAATTTTCATTCGAGCAATTTCAGACTTGTCTCGTGTAGTTAAACCTATGAGTTTTTAAATGTGATTTAACAACTGCCAGTAATTTATATGGTGCTCATAAGTATGATTTACCAGCATATACACTTATCTGCATTGATTTTCTTACTGTTGTGTCACATTAATTAACATGAGTATGAGTGGTCTAAATAATGGCAGTTAAAGTGAAACCAGGTCCAGATGTACCTAACTAGTCCTGAGTTGCAACTATAATTGTATAATTTATATATAATTTGTTGTTAGTAACTTAGGAAAGTAGAATGCTTCCTTTCATCTGACAATTTGCATGTTGCAACTAAAAAAGTTTAGTCAGTATTTATTAATTTATTCTTTTCGCCTATTATGTCGAAAAAAGAAAGTGGGACAAAAGACGTGCACAATTTGCAGCTTCGATGATGGAGTCAAACAAATTGATTAGAGCTTTCCTTGCTGGAAGTGATGACACCAGTAAGCCGACATCTGTTCCTTTTGATGGCAGCAAAGAGGTCAAAGTGCAAGGTTGTGAACATGCTATTTTATTT